GGGGGCGTGGCCGAAGGCGAGAAGGGCATTCGAAATTGGTACGTAAGCCCCCCGGCATAAGCCAAATGTGCAATAAAAGGATTTGCGTGAGAAATTGCATGAGCACGCATTTTAAATCCCCATTAAGTATGTATGGCCTAACTGGCAGCACCGCTCGAATAAGAACGTCGACAATGGAGGCAGAAAGGAACTACGACTAAAGTAAGTAATCTTTAAAACAAATATGCAGTGAAAGCCCTTTAAATATTAAATGGGCCTCCGCGTACTGTCGAACTGTAAGTAAGCTGCTTAATCGTTATAAATACTAATTTGTGTTCTCTTGGATTGGCAAGTGTATCGAAAAGCAGGAGTCCATTAAGCCTATCTGTCAATACTTTAGTGATATGTAGACCTACCTGAATGACTTTCGGGAACAATGATTGTTCCGATTTTGACTATGAATATATTCAATACTTTCTGTTAATACCCCTTAAATATTATTACTTTACAACAAAAAATGATGTTACGATTCAGGAAAAATATCTGATAAGTTCAACTCCAAACCGGCCAAGAGAAGCTCAAAAAGTTTTATTTTGCAAGATCTTAAGTTCAGAGTATAAGGCTATTTCATACTTGATTGCTCCTTTTTGAAATGTTTCTTTCTCAATTACTGCTTCTAGGCCAATAAAATTGTCTAAATATAACCAGTGTGCAAGTTATGATTATAATATGTTATTGTTCTAACGGTATTTCAAGAGGTCTTGTCAACATAAATGCTTTACCATTACAATTTTTTAGATATGTACAGTGTGCCTTTACACTGCAACCTTTTCAAACTATCTTTGATATTTCTTCTTTATTAAAAGATTTACACAATGAGAAACGATAGTATATTATTTATTTAACTTTCCTTTTAACAAAATAGTAGAAAAATTAAAAAATGTACATTCCACAAATGTCATGATACACTAACGACTAAATTCATTAAAACTATTCTTAACTATACTTATGGTTAGATCAACGCGGTTAGTGACTCTGATCAAGAATATATAACGTTGTTATATAACCAGTTACACACATTTTGAAATAACTCGTAACTTACTCAGAGATCAATCTTTAAAACACACAGCTTGTACACCAATTGATTAAATAAACAAATAAATACCCTCGTTGCAGGTTACCATGCTGTTTGAACCAAACCATTCATTATTGGCTATTTACAAACGATAATCATCTTCAAGTCAAAGTTCGACCCGGGTCTCTTGCAATCATGAGCTGCTTGGCCAGCGGCTATCATTACAATAGATCCATGCATCTACTTCGGAAATGTGCGCAGATCTTTGTGCCCCTCTGGCCCACAGAGCACTCCACTGCTACAGGAGAATGCCATGAGAGGCAGACAGTTCTGATTTCGTTGGGTGTGCCTGCTAAGCCAAAGAATCTCGGTTTGGTTATCTGCACTCTATACGAGAAGAGTAAGCTATAATTGTTAGCCAGAATGCCTGGAATTTCTGATTCTTTATACGGGAGCAAAAGCAAAATAACACAAAACAAGAGGAAACGCTATAGTCGAGTGCAGTTTACACAATTTAAAAATATTAATTTTGCTAGTTAAAATTCCCCAAGCGCCACCTATTGTCGGAGAAAGAATGTTGAGTAACTGATAGTGCTGCGAAAATCGTCTTTTGAGCCTTGTGGGCATATGGGTGAGTGTGGCCGGATAGTATTATTACTATTTCAACTTTCTAGCTCTAATAGTTCCTGAGATTTTAGCGATTTGTAGTCGTTAGAGTGGGCGTGGCAGGATGCGCTCGCGCTGCGTAGGGACCTCAAGAATCTTTGTGCTTAATTTCAACGTTGTATCTCTTATAGTTCCTGAGATCTTAGCGTTCATACGGACAGACGGACAGACAGACGGACATGGCTCAATCGTCTTCGCTATTCATCCTGATCAAGAATATATATATTTTAAAGGGTCGGAAACGCTTCCTTCTACCTGTCACGAATTTTATTTTCAACGAATCTAATATACCCTTTGACTCTAGGTGTAACGGGTATAATTAAGATTTGATTTTTGGTGTAGGTTCTCGCTTACCTAGTTCAAGTGTGTAACTCCAGCGGGATAAAAAATCGACTTCATTTATTTGGTATATGTACAGATGTAGTAAAGACTAACGAACATTAGTTTTAGCCTTTATATAAATTGAACACGGCTTTTTGGTCGTTTGTGCGTTTTGGCTTCATTACTAGTACTACTGGGAAACCTAAATTGATTATGAGTTAATACTCGTCAGTTTCCTTATATATAATATATATATTCTCACCATTGATATTCATCTGGTCAGCTTGAAAAAAAAAAATTTGAAATTGTAGAAGGAAGCGGTTTGATCCTATAAGGCTTATATTCTTGATTATTAGGGCATCCTGCCACACTCACTCCAATGGAGGCCCAAACTAAGAACACGGAGATCTTAGGAACCAAACAGTTTGGCCAAGGCATTCAGATGCCATCGCAGTTCCTGATGGTGTTTTCCTCCGGCCACCATTGCTTATCAAACAGTTTTCAAATCGGAACATGATTTCATAATACAATACGTTATAAGGCCTCGCGATAAGCAATAAGCAATAAGCAATAAAATTGTGCACTCCGCCGACTTCCACCAACTATATTATTATTTTAAATCTGGTTAACACAGTAACGGGAATTTTAGAGTCTTATAGACAACGTAAGCTAGCTTTTCCGAACATATTGATTCGGTCGCTTTTACATTCGTATACTCTATTCGTAATCTTTCAGTACTTTGGGCCTGAGTGTATTTTAACACTTTTCAAACTGGTCTTACCAGGCACACTGTAATAGAAAACACCTGCTTAGTATAGCGGAAAGCTTAGCGTAGTGTCTTGCATAGCGCATATTGCAATCGATCATTGGTATTACTATCAAAATTGATCGAACTGCCTACTCGGAGACAACTAGAGATTCGATTTATCGGCAGAAGGTAACACGAAGAAACTGTGAGAATATAAATCCAAGGCTTGAAAACTGCACAGCCCTCCGCCCAACGCCTTCAGAGCTTCTATCCTTGGGGATGCAGCCGCAGGATTCGATTCTTGGCAATCATTCATTACGTCAATCAAGATGGCAGGCAGGTTCAACCGTTTCGCTTCAACTGCACTCGCATTTCAATTTAAATTAAAACTTTGAACGAACTTTAAACACAGCTTTACATTTCCCCATCCAAGACATTCTCCCGTGGGCTGGCACTTAACCGAGCTCCTGAGCCAAGCTAAATTCCAACGCTTCGCTGGCAACCGAAGAAGGCGGAAGTAAGTGAACTATGAGCGGGCAAGTAAGTTGTAACTTTCTAAAACTTTCCTTGGAGTCCCACACGTATGTGGTGCGGATTACAAACTGCAGTTAATGACCAATAAACTAAATGCGTTTTCCCATATAAATTTAAACACGGCACTGCGAATCCCTATCTATCATTCAATTCATCCGTTCCCTCACTTTGATTTCGTTAACTGACAGTCACAAACAGTAAAAAGAGTTTAAAAAAAAATACGTTCGGTCTGTATACACTAAAATAAAATTAAATTTACCAAATCGACTAGCTAACTCAGTGCGGCTTCCTACGCCAAGTTTATGAAATTAAAGGCCATGGCCTGAAATAAGGAATTGCTCTGTACACAGTTCGTTTGCAAGGTCGACTAGTCGTTTTAACTGCAGTATAAACCGATATTATATTTATAAATTGCAAAATAAATATCCAGCAGCAAATTATGTATTATACTTTAAATGAAATAAGCAATGCTAGGGTGGAAAACCTGGTTAGAATTAAATCGACTAAACCTTTAATGTTGTTTGTGTTTTATCTACTTTATTTCAGCTGAAGTTTCACCCGCAGCTAGTAAAGAAAGAACGACAGAAATCTCTTCAAATGCTGGCATCTCCGATTTTCGGTTTTTTCTGCCATTTGCTTATTCATAGCACTGCGAGTCCTGAGGCAATGTGATTGATTGCTAATTAGCCATGTTTCCCCGGCCGCGTGATCCAGTTTTAAAGCTAAAGCTTGGGCAACGACATCGGGGAGGTGTATCAAAACTCAAATAGAAAACTGAGAGGAGCACCCAGTTCTCCTTCCAGCCATTATGGCAAATCAATCATTTTCCTTTTCAACTGCACATCGAGCTTGCCATTCCTTAAGCATTCAATGGGTTTGCTGGTGCCTCTGTTTTTGTTTCTCAAAGTCTTCACTCACCGCCACTATCAATGAAAGTTTCATTCAACATCTGATAAGACAGATTGTTGGCAAATCGTTCGACTCATAACTAGGGATTAGGCAGTAACTGCATAAATGGGGTTTACTGCGTAAATCAGCTAGGTGCCTTGTGGTATATCGATTTCTTCTCTGGAGGGAAGCAAGTATTCGGCTGAGAAGATGTTTAATTGCTTATTAATTCATAAGAAGTTCTGTCGAAAAGCTCATGTTGTACCTGTAAAAAAACATTTGTGTAAAGTCCCGCAATATCTAATTTTCTCACATTTTCTTATTTAACTCTCAGCAAAACGAAGGGGAGACTAAATGGGAGGTGGAGCCTGCGTTCAGAAAACCACTGAAAATGGAGGCTAATATCATTTTATTTGTTTGGTTGCCTCGGAGCATGCAAGTGCATTTAATTTTTACCCTCTTTCCCACGTTCAAACCCCTAAAGTTCACGCTGTTTTCAATTTAATTATAGACTTTAATGACACTTTGTAGAGGAAGGATATTATGCGCGGCGAATATTCTTGGCCAGAAAGGAGCTACACCAAGGTACAAGAAGGGGTTTGTTTTTAGCAAGTTATTTGTAATTCCAATAGTGACTATTCTCTATACAACTCTCTCTCGTAGCAAAATCAGTCTTGCCCTTTTAAATTGGGATTAATATATTGGTAGTCAACGACTAATGTTAACAAGCTTAGTATTAAAGATATACAAGAATGATTCAAATCAGTAGGCCTTGGAATTGAATTCACAAGCAATATGCCTGCCTGAATATTAAGCATCAGATTTACTCCGATACTTGTTTGGTTTGGGCTGTTGAAAAGTCAGGATCGAAAATTTATTTCGATTAAAATTTTCCTATTTTTGTGCTAAACGAGCAACGTGGGTTTGTTTTAATACATTATTTGGTAAATGTAACAAATTGTCGATATTTCAGAATTTGACCAGATAAAAATGTGCTGCGGGTATCCGTGCTATCCTTGTGCCGCTCTGTGTCCTTGCGGCGGATGTGGACCTAGTGGATTCTACGACCCCTGCTTCGGTCCCTTCAACGGCCCATTTAACTCTTGGTGCGGCCCGAGTGGACCTGGATTCTGGGGTGGACGTTGCTGCTGAGACCATTTCACTGGACCATTTCACTAAGGGTCTGGTCTCTCTGTGATCGTTGCAGAAAAAAATCAGGAAACTATTCCCACTTCCATCGTATTCAACAGTCCCAAACAAGTCGGTTTTGCATACCCAGCCAGACCAAACGAAAAAATTTATATGTGATTCCATTTTACTTAAATATAGTAATATACTAGATATTATGCAAATATTTAGTATTTTAACAATATAATTAGTGCAGCTATAAGAAAATAAATGTCAACGAAAATGGTAATTTAATTTTTCGTAATTAAAATTCTAGACGTTAGTTGAAAAGAATGGCAATAAAAGTTTTGTATTTGTTCCGCGTTGTTACTATATGTTACTATAGCTAGGAACTAAAGCAATAAGAATAATGTACAGCACCTGCCACACCCTGCTCAAAGAATGGAAACATAATATTTTTAGCAAATACGATAAGTGAAATTCTCATAATAATGAATATACGTACGTTCGATCGTTACGATTTTCTTGTGCAAACCATTAGCTGAAACTGCTGGATAGGCAGTCAACCCACGACGGAAGCTGGCAACATCTACCTCCCCAAAATCCTGGTCCACTTGCCCCACACCAGGAGTTAAACGGTCCGTTGTAAGGTCCGAGGCACGGATCGTAGAATCCACTTCGTCCACTACCATTTTACTTAAATATGGTAATATATTATACAAATATTCAACATTTTAATAATATTAGTGCAGCAGATTAAGATAAAATAAATTTCAAGAAAAATGGTCATTTAAGGAGCGCCACAACATCGCAAATTCGTGCTTAAAATTCTAGGCGTTAGTGGAAAAGAATGGTAGAGGAAAAGTACAAATAATGCAAGCTAGTCGCGGCAGCCAAAGCGTCCACTTCCTCTGCTATATGTTACTAAAAGATACCTGCTAGGAACTAAAGCAATGAGAATGAACAGCACCCGCCACACCATGCCCAAGGAATGGAAATAATATTTTTAGCAATTTATTTTATAAACGGACTACTCTTCGAATGCGACGGTAATTTTAATTCAATTTTTTCAATTCCATTTCAAATTTGCGAGAGATCTGTTTCGGATTGTACGATAAGTGAAATTCTCATAATCATAAAAAATACGTACGTTCGATCGTTACGATTTTCTTGTGCAAACCATTAGCTGAAACTGCTGGATAGGCAGTCAACCCACGACGGAAGCTAGCAACATCTACCTCCCCAAAATCCTGGTCCACTTGCCCCACACCAGGAGTTAAACGGTCCGTTGTAAGGTCCGAAGCACGGATCGTAGAATCCACTTGGTCCACTACCGCCGCAGGGGCACAGAGCGGAACAGGGATAGCAAGGAAAGCTGCACATGTTGTATTGCTTTGTCCTGAAATAACAATGCCTCGAGGAAAAATAAATAATACACAAATATATGCTAAACTTACGGTATTTGAAAGATTGAAATTTAATTTAGATTTTTCTTCCCGTTACGGTCCGAAGAGTTTGAATTCGAAAGTTTAACTAACCTGGATAAGGTAATGGCAGAGCATCGCAAATATTTAATTTGAATTAGATTTCATGGCATCCTATTTTTATATAAAAAAGTTCAACAATTTTATGTGGGCGTAGATAATAGGCGTTGATTTATCTGATATCTGAATTTGGCTTGTTCTTTGTGCAGTTGCGAAGAAAACGTTGACCGGCTAAAACCGTTGTGGTTTAAATTTTATCAAAGTAAATTTTTTGAAAAATTTGTGAAGAATCAAATGTTTTGTAAATCCCAATCCCAATGATGGCTAAAAGGTAATTAAGCTGCTTTTAACTATATTTCTTAAATGGCTTTTTAGTTTTAGGTACCAAAATAAAAATATAGACGTCTTGCTTGCATTCTGAGAACGTAAAGACACAAGAACACCCTTCCCTCCATTATCTCTACTCTAATACCTTCTTATATTATCAGTCCTGGTATGTAGTGTTACCAATTATCTTTCCTAAGGCTTAGTTTTTTCTTCAGGTTTGGCCATACGTTGGGATTAGGAAAGTGCCCAACCTTTAGCTATGGGGCAAGTACGTAACTGCAGGGCAGTCATTAATGTAAGATCTTATATTAAATAAATTCAAATTAATAAAAGGGTTTCATTGCAGATGAAATGTGTACTCGTTTTTACCCCTACTATTTATTGCTTTTAAATACAAACATAAATTTGTAAATAAAGATAAAAACAATAAAGATTGATAAAATATCTAAATATGCAACAAATTCATATTTCTCTACCCTAGGTTGTTGTGGGCGTCGAAAAAGGCGTGGCCATCATTTTAATACTTCCGATGTGCCCCAGAAGCAAAGCCAAAAAATTATAAAATATTTAAAATTTTATTTCGTCGGCTGTTCAAGTGGTAACATAAAGTACTCGTTCTAATTAGCAATTATTTAGGGTTAGGGAGCAGAGAACTCTCCCGACCAAATACTTTTCAAAGCAATTAATCTCAATTATTTCCCCCGAATTTAGTATGCAGCTCGGGTGAAAGGTTGGGGAATTTAAGCTCCACAGTGATGGGCTCTGTTTAGATTGTCCAAGGATTGTCAGCAAATCAGGTGCAAAACGTGATGTGCTTTCGATAAAGTGCACATAAAATAAAGAATTCAGGCAGGATGGAAGTAAGGTACGATAAAAAAAACTTTTAATGCGCTTAGGCGGCGGCGATACACGAACACTGAATGGTAAATGTTGCAAGGTAAACAAAATCAAAGCCAAGGCAAGCCACGTGAACTGTCCAGCATTTAAAGTCGGCTAGCCTCTCCTACATTCCCCCTGGCTCCTTTAAAAGGACTAGCGGATGCGTGAGAAAGTTTTCTAAGTAAGAAAACACGTTCGGGACTGATGACTGGCAGAGACCATAGCCAGATTTCTGGTAAAGTGTCGACACACCCAAAATGAGTAATATTGAGACTAATGGTTAATTAATGGACTCTGTTAATGTTGACTCTGTTTTTATTTATTATTCCTATGGCACAAGGTTTTAAACAGGTTACCTTTGACATTGTAGTTATATATTCTAATGGAAGTGTCCAGTTTTACTTTTACTTTATTCGGAACGAGACGTCGGTCGGTTTGAAAACAAAAATTGAATACGTGTTAAATTATAGTTATATTATGGCTCTAAACAAAATTGATGGTGTTAAAAACATTTCAAAACAACTAAACCGCTGGCGGGATGGTGAGCGAACGACTTTCAAAGACCGCCACCTCACGTGAGGAGTACATTTGCTGTTTTTTAAGACATTATATATTTTTGTTTTGAATATCATATTTTATATTTTACCAATTTAGTATTCGGTCTTTGATTTCTTTATAAATAGAAAAAGTAAAATACGATTTTTACCTTGCAGTAGTAATTTCTATGAGCCACCAATCGAGGAATGCACACGTGGCTAATCGGCCATTGCCATCCGAACAAGCAGTGGCAATCGAAGGACCCAAAAAAATTACAGACAATTTGTCCTGGTCGAAAAACTCGCCTGTCAGCCTTCTTGTGGAAACCACTCGGAAGCCACAGCACAACAGGACTCTCGAACTTAAAAAAGCTGCTGCACAGCTCATCAGAAGCAACGAATGCCTCAAGGCGCACTACATACAAAAGCGCAACGACCGCACTGCGGAGGAGCTGGCGGCCAAGGAGCCACAGACGGCCCAGAAGCTTGCCAATTTAATGTCCCTTAACATCACAATTGAGGAGACCAAACGCCCGCGATCTTCCAGCAGCCCTGCCAGACGTATGGAAACGAATTACGCGACCGGCACTTTAGACTTTAAGCCACAAAGCAATCAAAGTGTGCGATGGCAATATAAAAGACGGTCAAATGAAATCAACAGTTTCGATGAAGCGGGCTTACAAAATGCAAAGGATCTCCTAAAGGGCTTAAAAAAGCCAGAGCAGCCAGAGGGGACCCAGCATCCACAGCAAAAATCATCGGAAGAGGATAGTAAGCAAGGTAGCACGATGAAAACTGCCAAGGCCGTGAATAAATTACAAATGGGTAAAATTATTGACAGTTTTAAAACAGTGTGTAATTAAATGTTTTAGCAGGCACCTTGAATGATCTAAACTCGGAAGATGGACAGGACTGGCGAAAGAGTGTACGTAAACAGACCGAAGCGACCGAACCGATTTCAAAAAATTTAAATTCCCTGGCTAAATGGAAAATAGGTAACCATTCTAGAAAGTCACTAAGGCGGTAATTCAGGTGTATAATTCACAGGTACCAGGTCTATCCCTCGACTAGATATTTAACTCTTGGATGTTATGTTTGATTTTTTTATTCTTTTCAAACACTTCACTTTAAAAATGTCAAAATTGTATTCATTGTGCCGAATAAATTCAAAAGGTTGCTATACTACTTCATACTATGGTATCCGTTATACCCTATGACCGCGCTATCTCGCATGCCCCTTTTACGAGTAAGTACGCTGAACAAGACAGTTCTTAAATGTATCAGGTCTTTAAAGAATCTTTAAAGATAACTTATAGTGTTCTTATAGGCACGTAAGTGAGTAATGTTGTCGAACCAATTAGCAGGACATTCAGGTGTCATGCTTGTTCTGATCAGACTGGTATACACTCTACAGAAAGCACGAATCTTTTACTAGATTGGGGAACAACGTCGGCCAAGTCAAATGTTAAACGTGCCATTAAACGCGCCCGTTTAGTGGCCAAAAGCAAACAAGGGCCAAAGGCAGGTGGAGAGATATCCCGACAAAAACAAAGAACCATCTCAGACCGAGGCACCAGGGCCGGTGTCCAGGATGCGGCCACCGCCGAGGCAGCAGCAGCAAAACAATTAACAGTCTTCGCTTGTTGTAATTGACACAACTGAGCGCAAACAATAAATAAAACAGAACTGCGCCAGCAACTTTTCAAGGGATGAGAGCCGTTGACAAGAGGCAACCAAAAATGTCTTGTGCTCGTAAATTACATTTCATAGAAGTCACAGAAAACTAATCTCAAATTGGCAAGAAAATAAAGAAAGCTAACTCTGACCCGGTATATCTCCCAATTACATTTTTTATTGATTGCCTCATTTTTGTTGGGTCTTTGGGCTATGATGTAGTCGCCCTATTCGTGTAAACCTAAAATCCGCAATTGCAAAAGACAGCGGGTAACCGGTAATAGCATGTGCAGTACTGGAAAATAAACGTTCATCGAAGGATCGGATGGAACAGCAGCCCCATGTCCAGGAACCTGGAATATTCAAGGAAACTTGGTACATTGTACCTCTTTGACATGTGCGATTAGATGCTGCCAAGGAAGTTAAGTATGTAAAAACAAATACTTTTTGAGACAAGAAATTTTAATAACAATAACGATGTTCGTCTCGCTTATTTCTTGATCGCTTCTTTAATGAAACGAGGCAACACGTTTTCCAGGCTTCAGACATTAGTAGTCGTTATACCCGTTACTCGTAGAGTAAAAGGGTATACTAGATTCGTTGAAAAGTATGTAACAGATAGAAGGAAGCGTTTCTTCAGCCTATAATAATAAAATTTTAGTTGTCTTCAAATATTTTTTGTCAGTACCTATCGATCTACCCTTTTAAATCAGAACCTTATTTGATAATTTATTAGGGAATTTGGGTTACGTTTCTTTCTGATACCAACCTTTTGTTAAACTGTATATCCTTTGCCCTTTACAAAAATCGAAGAAGCTATAAAATTGCGCGGCAGAATTTGAAATATTTAAAGCTGCGGGAAGGACAGATTCAACTACTTGCAGTGTGGCAGCGTCTAACACTTGGTGGCTTGGCCATGTCCCCGTCTGAACGTGCTTGCCACAAATAAATTTGATTTGCATGTGCAAATTAACGTGGAATTGAATTTTCTTATGCATGAATTGTGCGCATAATTGGTCACTGGCACTCGCAAGAGCAGCTGCCTTCCTTTCACGCCTAGACAAGTGCTCGATCGAACGTTTTTCCAAATGGTGTGACATTGCTTATTGAGTATATTCCTTATGCTGAAAATACTTAAAAGCTTTTACTGGTTCTTTTATCTCAGCCCTCTCGATTTCCTTACCTTGGATTTGAACTTCCGTTCAAACCGTTTCGTTTTTTGGTGGGGCGATCATTGTCATTTCTTGGCGGCAAAATGAAACTGCGTAGGTATTGCCTTTAGTGGTCTAGCTAATGTTTCGGGCGAATTTCCACTTCTACTTTCTGTTTGCACACGAACTTCGCCCACAAGGCTAATGCGTTTTTTATTGGACTTATAAACTTAAGTGTCAACTTCCGGTCTTGCCAACCGGAGGTCGACTTTCAAATTTGCATTTTTCTTCGTCACGGACATTTAAATACAGAAGCTCTCCACCCCTATTGCGAACTAATAATTCTTTGCTAAAAAATCATACTTCAGGTAGAACAAAGCCATATCCCTCTTTATATATGAATTCTGGATTTTGATTCTAGGATCAAAAGCCAGTGCCTGCAGATTAATCCAGATACTTCATTTTTAGGAACTTTTATTCTACTTATATACACCCTAATCTGCTGGCATACTTAAATTGAATTTGGCAATCGTTAATTTCTGTTAGCAAAGTGATTTGGTTAATAGAGTAAGAGTTAAGTAAAAAGTTTCTTGTTTTTAAACTTGATTTAATAAATTATAACAAACGCAAGCACCTTTACTCAACATCTTTTCGCTTTAGGATCTATCTTTTTATTGTCCCTACTTAGCATAAACAGGATTAGTGAAGAGCTATATTAAACTTGTTTTCCTTCCGAGCTCTGAAAAGACAACTTCTGTAAGCGGAAATCATTAAACACTTTCTGGATATTTGGCAGCATTAGTTACCATATTTTTACAAAACAAAAATAAAAGCAAAATAGAAGAGCAATAACCACAAAAGCTTTTTGGAGTTTTAGGTTCCTCGGACTTCATTTTGCGCAAAGTTTTGACCTACGCGCTCGCAAACCAAATCTGTTTAACAACGTTTGAAGCATTGGCTACTGTGTTGGTGTTGGTTTATTCCTGCTTTTGCCTTTTGCTTTTCTTCAATCCCTTCTTGTTTTGGCCTCAGCAAAGGGAAGCTGAAGATTCACACAGCTCAATCGAATTTCAGCAGAACCGATTTGTACGCAAATCATTTCAACGACCAAGCCAAGTATCCGGACAAATGCGTGCGTCCTCAAATTAGTTTCGCCTGAAGTTTCCTCTGGGGTACATCCTTATGCGGGATATTATTTCCATAATTTCCATAGTGATTAGCTTATATTTTCATGCTAAGTATTTGGTAAAATGATTAGTGCTCAGATCAGAACTTATTTGATTTAGGTAAAGCATCGAGAATATAATGCATAATGATGTCGTCATATCAAGAAATGTCATTACATGACAGTAGATGATCTGTCCTCTCCTTTAGCATTCATCTTCTGCCTGAAAGCAGTTTTTCTTTATTATATTACTTTTGTGAGTTACCTTTCTTGTTTGATTGTTGTTATAGCTTTTCTTTTTCATGGATGTAAAACACAAAAAGAAGCCAACAAAAATCGGCAATTTATAATGTATGATTATGAAGATGTTACTGGTTCTTATAGGTTTGCTCACGATTTTTGACACACACATTTTTTTATATGGAGCACCTACTTCTAAATTTATTACGAAGTCCAGATGTTATTCGATTTCTAGGGAATTATCAATTTTGATTATAAATTATATATAATCTTGGTCAGATTCAGTATCCAGTCGTTTCATTTGCCTGCATGTACACGTCAATTTTCGTTAGCATAATTATAATGTACAGTGTATTATTATGTATTATTATTTATTTATTATTACTTTGTATTATGTTTTGTAAACACGGTTAGCTAATAGACGCGTGTCCTTTGGACGCTGTCGCGCAACTGATTGGCTTATAACTGGTTAAGTGACAGCGCGGATCAAAGTATTTCATTGGCGAAGTTAGGAACACTTCTATAGCGTTCTGATCCGATTGCAGTTTATAAGAACTTTATAAAGATATGGCTTCATAGACAAATTATCAGAGTCGCCCATCTGGCGATTGCCCTGGAAATTGACAAAAATCAACTTCCCACAGGCATACACCAAACCACCACATGACCTCCATTGGTGGAGGAGAATGACTGAAGAATTCTAGCAGAATGGCAAACAATCGAAAACTTTCGAGGCTGAGGGGCCAGCATAAGGGATTGATGACCACGGAATCGTCCCGATTCCATCCGAACTTTAATTGCGCGGTGGCGCATAAAGTACAAGCCAAAGTACAATATTGAGTGCAATTCCGACCGCGCTCACATGCAAGACAGGGAAAGGAAACTTTCGGCCATCGGTTGTAAAACTTCACACGCTCAGTGGGTTCCGGCTAAGCAGAAAAATTCAACTTTTAATTTGTTCTAAAGTCAATTTTAGCCCAAAACTTCAACTCATATTGGTAGTCGGCCGACTCGGCGGCTGTCCCTATCAACACGCTCTTGTTATGGGCGACGCGTTCACATAAGGTGACGTAAGCCTTTACTCAGTGAAATCAAGAATAAGAAATCAGTCATACTTATTTTAACATAAGTAAACCAATGGCTACATCAAGTTACTCGACTTGTTTCCTTACCTCTTGTCTTCGGCATCTCTACTATAATGGATAGCAAAAATGCGATGCATGAATTCAGTAGAACACATATAGGGACTATTCAAAAATATGTAAAAGATAGTTATAGTAAATTCTTATTGGTTCTCGCCCATAGAATGCCAACTTTCTTTTATACGAAAAGATAAACATTGATAAATGCATTCAGCTAGTGATCCTGATCAATAATAGTATGCTTTATAAAATCTGAAACGTTTCCTTGACCATGTTTGATATACCTATTTTCTATACCTGCAGGGTATAATGATAATCATATATGAGCAGATGTGCGGGATGACATTTTTACGATGCTACTATGCTTCTAATAAAATACAGCCTGAGGTGTAGCAAATTATGACACGGCACACTTCCCAATCCCGACCTAGCCGTGGGCCCTTCGCTCGGGCACCAAGTTGTACAATAGGAAACTGTCTGGTCCTTTCCATTTGCTTGCCTCGTAATATCGCTGACAATTTAGCTGGAGACGGACTTGAAAAAGAAGCAGGGGACCCTAGCGCCAAACGAAGTGTAATCTGATTGCATTTGGCAGCGGCACAAAGCGAATAAGGATGATGAGGAAGATAGGGTGTCATGCCCTGCTGACTGCCAAAGGCGTTTAGCTTAACCAAACATCTCCCTTTTGTGTCACCGAGTTTTCACATTGCCCACTTCCAAGTGTCTATTGCTTCGTTTCCACGCCCTGGGCATACCTCAGAGAAGCAATCGTTGAGATTGATTGTCTGCTTAAATCTGGGTAATGTAATCAACATAAATATATATTTACATACAGGAACGGATCCTTTCTCACTTTGTATTTAACCTTGCTAGCTCAAACCTTATTATAATTATGATAATCTCCGCTTTACTAACATTCTGAAATTAAATCGATTCACAAATGCTTTAATGCATTACATCTAATCAAAAAAAATATATTTTCGAATTTTCCATCGAAAAAAATTGTTGAATGTGGCTTCGTTGAGAATAATAATAAAAATGTACGATAATATAGAGTAATAATTTCTCAGTTGGCGTTAATTGATCTTAGAAAGCGAGAATGCTTATAATTCATAGTTTGTGACAAACTTTTCCTGCACAAATCGAATGAAATATAGAATTACACTTGCAAGTTACTGAATTTACTCATATCTACACACAGAATCATCATGCCTTCGTCCGAGTATGTTTCATTTGGTATTTTTACACAGGTGATGCGCATACCTAGTTAGTATTACCAACTTAAATGGAGCTCGACGGCCTCAGTTCTGATCACCAAGGAAACTCGACCAAAACAAACCAACCAACGAGCAACCCCTTAATTTTGCTTTTAGCTCAGTAATGCCTTTTAAAATATATTTTGTGACACAAACAAAGAGTACGAGCAAAATGGTTTTTAAAAGCAGTCCCAATGTTAGCCAGAAATTAGAAGATGCTGGTGCTAAACAAAAAGCAGTTCCCCCTCCCCCACCAACGGCGGCTGGCAGGCCAAGGCCGCCGACATCACAGCTTTTTTCGGTGAGTTTCGGGAAATATGAATTTTTGTTCCCTCAGTAAATCCTATTATTCAGCGCGGCAACCTGGTTAGTAGTCGGACTGCAGGAGTCGATAAATCTGGTCTGGCCAGGCCATCAACAGCAGTCCGAGCTGTAGGCTATGCGGCCAATAGTGGGTCTGCTGGTCAAAGGTTTGACCAGTTTTTCCTTGAAAAGGCCAAACAGCAAACACTTTCGTCGGCTAATGCCGTGGATACTGCCAAGGAAGTTAAGTATGTAAAAACAAATATTTTTTGAGACAAGAAATTTTATTAATAATAACGATGTTCGTCTCACTTACTTTTTGATCGCTTCTTTAATGAGGCAAAACGTTTTCCAGGCTTCAGACATTAGTAGTTGTTTTTGAGAGTGAATGTTTTGCTCAGAAATTAATGGCTTTTCATACCCGTTACTCGTAGAGTGAAAGGATATACTAGATTCATTAAAAAGTATGTAAAAGGTATAAGGAAGCGTTTCCGACCCTATAAATTATATATATTCTTGATCAGTCGCAATAGCGAAGACGATTAAGCCATGTCCGTCTGTCCGTATTTCCGCTGAAATCTCAGAAACTATAAGAGATACAAAGTTAAGATTAAGTATGAAGATTCTTGAGATCCTTACGCAGCTCAAGTTTATTGCATCTTGCCAGGCCCACTCTAAAGCCCACAAATCTCGAAAAACTAAATTCGCTGAAATCTCAAGAACTAGTAGAGTTAGAAAGTAGAAATTCAATATGTAGAATCTTGAGATGCCAGCCCATCTTATAGTGGTACTTTTATCCGACAACACCCACCTATCCGCCCTCCAAGCTCAAAAGAAGAATTTCGCATTTTCTAGGAAAGCTGATATCTCGGTAACTATAAGTGAGAGAAAGTTCGGATTAAGCATGTAGGTTTTTATAATGCCCCAAATGTGAATTGTTTTTATTCCAACTAGCCACGCCATGCAAAAATCTCAGGGCCTATAAGAGCTGGAAAGCTAAGCTTAAGAATATGTATTTAAAAGATGCCACTGCAACTTAGCACGATTTTTCATCCGGCCCACTCTAACGCCCACAAACCGCGGATAACTGTGGCGTCTTTAATAGTGTTATGAATGCCTTCGATTGACCTTGTATAACTTATATCTATCGATTTTCCAAAGATTTTTTAAATCGGAACATTATATCGCCATTTATGAAGAAACATCATATGTTTTACTAAAGTGTATACCAAATTCCCCAGTTAAAAGGTATTCCTTTGATATGGAAAACAATTCTTAAACTTGGTTCAAAAAAGCTGTTTTTAGTATGTTTGGCTTGCTGCTTTCAATTCTCTTTGATTATAGTCCGCAAATCAAGTACAAGAATCTGGAGGCCAAAATAGTGAAGCTCTTGGAATCGTCCATCATATTGACCTGGCAAAACACCGCGGATTGTTCACGTGGAGAGACAAGTTCGGAAGCGAAGTCGATATTGTCCGAGTCGCTGAATAAGGCCAAGGAAGCATTCTCGTTGGATCGCACATTGCACCGATTTAGAGACCAGCAAGGCGAGAATGTTTACCACAACTTCGATTTGACCTATGCAGTGAGAGAAACTAGATTAATAATTTATTTTAAATTCAATTATTCTCTATTCTTCAGGTATTCTTTAATCTTGCAGAGCAATACGAACGCAATGATTTGCACATTGAGGCCCTCAACACGTACAGCATCATGACAAAAAACAAGATGTTTCCACACGTCAATCAGTTGAAGATCAACATGGGAAACATATACTACAAGATGGGTATTTACCAGAAGGCGGTTAAAATGTACCGAATGGCCCTTGATTCGGTGCCAAAGAACTTGAGTCAGTTGCGACTAAAGATCCGTGAAAACATTGGAATTCTTTTCGTCCGCATGGGCTCCTTTACGGATGCTGCATCTAGCTTTGAATTCATCATGTCGGAGCGAGCGGACATTAAGAGTGGCATCCACCTCCTGCTTTGCTACTATGCCATGGGCGACGTGGAGAAAATAAAATTGGCCTTTCGTAGTCTGTGCGATGTCCAGACTGGGGAAACCGAAACCGATCTGGGAAGTGAGAGCCATATTATCAAGCTGCAGCAGCAGGCCGAGCAGGTTGCTCAAGACGGAGAGACCGATTTGCATAGGTCCTCTGACCGCGGACATAACGGGGGAGCAGAAGTGGCGGTAATTGATGCAGAGGGTGGTGAAACTTACGAGAAAGTTCAGGAATCCACGAAGTTTTCAGCCAAGGCCAAACAGCGGCTTGTTCTACAAGCCCTAAAGAAGGACGAGCTGGCCATATTCACCAATAAACGCCGAAATGCCGAGAAACGGTCTATTACAATGATCGTAGATCTAATCTCACCCTTAATCGAAGAGAACTATAATGACGGTAAGTAACTGTATGAGGAATCGATAGTTTGAATTCATGAAAATGTTTTATGTACAGAAATTTATTTATATAGAAAAAACAATAACAATAATACATAAAAATAAGATATTATAGATTAAATAATTGTAAAAGAAAGATTACTCCCTACTATCCCCATCGGATCGACAAGTTTCATCTAAGCAAACACTTTATATTGTGAAAACTAATTTACACTTTATACAAGTTTACTTTCATTTAACAGGAGAAAGAACATATGTCCGATTTAAATTTAAAGTCTGAAAGGGTCTGAAACTGCATCTTAACTTCTCTAAATACAAAATCAATTTTAAGTACAAGTATTTTACCTCACCTTGGCAAATTACAATTACCAGGATACAATTGGTGCATTGAGATCATCAAGACCTCAAATCTGTCGTGGCTTGCAAATGAACTGGAACTAAACAAGGCCTTAGTGTACCTTCGCCAAAATGACGTAAACCAAGCCATTGAAACGCTACAAATGTACGATCGCAAGAGCGAGGGATCGATGACAGCAAGCGCTCTAACAAATCTTAGTTTCATCTATATAAGTGTAAGTTTTACTATATATATGTGATTTGCGATTTCCATTGTTCAAAAATTAATTCGTGATTATTATAAGATGACTTTTTAACTTAACAAAGTAGAAAAACGTGACGATCACATTTTCTTCTAATAATAATACTTCTTAAAATTTATCAATCGTATTGCGTTCCGTACAAAAACCAAAAACATTTTTTAAAGTATTTTTCCTGAGCCAAACATATTCGTATCAGGCTATTCAGAGTCTACGCCTTCTACCTCTCTCGGTATGCACCGCCACTAAAGTCACAAAGTGTCAGTATAGGTGTTTTGATTGGCAATTTATTAATTTAAAAACTCGATAAACACTTAAAAAGAATATCAAGTGCTAACATGCAAGAATACCTTTCAGCTTGGCAACCTGGAGATGGCCAGACACTGCCTTAACCAGCTTCAGGAAATCGGAGCTCTAGAAAACAACGCGCTAGCACTGATAAATGCCAGCATAGTGGACTTGCGAAAACAAAACCTGATATCAGCCCGAAATCGATTGGAGCAAGCTTTGGACCTTCAGCCGACCAACTTTGAGGCCAACTACAATCTCGGACTGGTCGCCTTGGCGCAGCAGGATTACGAGACGGCCGAGGAGCGTTTCGAGCTCCTAAAAGCTGAATTGATGGTCCCCCACTCTGTGCAGCACAGTCACGTGTTCTATCAACTTGCCAAGTTACAAGAACGCCGTCTGGGAGCCGGATTTAAAGCTAACGCTACGCCAGGCGCGGCATTGCAAGCGTACCTCCAGGTTCTTGGCATCTCCGCCTCCAACATCGATTCGCGAATGTTCGAGAAAGTCGGTTCACTCTACGAGAAAATTCAAGACCATCAGGAAGCAAACCAGTACTACAATGAGGCGTACCGCATAAACATGAGTGACATTAGTATCGCCAGCTCCATCGGATCCTACTATATTAAGCTCCAGGCCACCGAAAAGGCACTTTATTACTACGAACGAGCGGTGTTAGCCGATCCTAACGACCCCAACCTAATGCTGCGTATTGCCAGCTGCTTCCGCAACTCGTACCTGCCGCCGAAGCAGTACCTGGGCATGTTCCAGAAGATTTACGTTCGTTTTCCGGACAACATCACTTGCGTACGGGCTCTGATGCAAGTATCCAAGTCGCTGGGCTTTGGCGATTTGCATGAGCGATATGCGTTGGACTATGCCCGCCTGCAAAAGCAGCAGCAGGAACGTCAGAACGAGCAGCGATATCAGCAGCAGCGCCTCTCTTCTGCGGCCTCAGCTAGCAGCCGCTTGCGAAGTACGTTGATAGAACTGAAACTTATATCTATTATTTTTTATATATATTGGACTTTATTATTTTACATTTGCCCATAGCTGAACGTCAGTCTAATGAGGAACGCCTACAGGAAAATAGTGACATCTCCAAAAGCATGACCTATACGCAGGATCGCCCCACGTATTCCAGTAAAGTTATTTTATGACTTTTATGAATTTATTTTTTATATTTGGTGCATTTACAGTCCAGCAGTTTGATCCTTTGGGACCTCCCGCAGAACGTCCTCGAACTGGCGTATATCAAGCACAACAAAGTAGAGACGATTCAGATGATGAAGCGGAAATGAATGCCGAAAGCTTATTGCCTATTTAAATTGACTTTGTTTGATAGCAGTGAAATACTTTAAAGAAATAAACAAAATGTAGAATCAAACATTGATCGTTTTAATGAACATGCCTGAAGCTCCACAAGAAACTCTCTCCTTTCTGTAAACTGCCGCCCTGGGCATTGAAGAAAATGTCGCCCTTGCCGAGTTTGCCGGCCTGTGCCTAAGCTCCGAAGGCACATAGTCTAAATGCGGCCCTGACCCCTCCCATCAACCCAAAATTGTTGAGCTTGCTTTATGTTATATTATCTTTATTACGCTTTCAAGGCCAATAATACATACATTTTTGTGTTCTGATATTATAAGGTTCGAGAATTTAAAATTTAGACTGAATAGAAAATTTGCCATTGGTATCGTGAATTTCTGAATGGTAGTAGGTTTCCTCTCCGAATTTCACCGTTTTGAACGACACGCTTGTTAAATTAAGGTTTTTGATTTATTGAGTAAAATGTGTGCTACTATTGCAAGTTTAAATTATAACGTTCTGTTCTCTTCGAAAAAATCTGTCGCATCTGCAGACGCCCACAAGTAACACATAAACATATAACACATAAACAGCTTCAGATCTTGATATTATTTATCCATTATTATGCTCGCTGATTTTCTATTTCCCTCGATCTTTCATTTCTAGATAAAACAAACCATTTTAACTTCTACAAATCAAAAGGTACAAAACAATACGGATCGTTTTTTACTCACAGACAGCTTCCAATTATCAAAATCAATCTTAATTTTCTCTCTAATGATTCTTATTCCTTTCTCTTCCAATTCCATTCCTAAACTGCCCCAAATAATTGGTTGCTCTTCCTCCCTTCCCTTAGAAGCTCATGTAGCCGCGGGAGGTAGAGCGGCGTCTAGCACACAAATAAGAGATTAAAACGACAAGAATAAGTGCGGCTAGGGCAATTCCAACGGCAATGGGCACTACGTCTGAAGTCTCGGAGCTGTCGCAATCGTGTACAGCTGAGAACCCGGTGGCGTTTGCCGTCCGGAAGGCCTCCACTTGGACGTGACTGACGCTGATCCAGCCAATTAACTGCTGAGCATCAAGGGTCTCGGAAAGATTCATTTTTTGAACTCGGGTACAATGGTAAGACATCTTTTCGGGTGTCTTAAAATCTCCATCGCTCCTATGGATGAGTTGAATCGTTTGGTTTTCTGCAATAAAAAGATGATTAAATGGTGTAATGTGATGGTGTAAAAGCAATTCTTTAAAGCTGTATACCCTTGGCGTTCGGGAATTCCTCAGTCAGTACGGTCAAATGGATTTGAACGGAGGAGAGCACAGTGCTGTCGTTCTTTTTGTTGAAATACATCAGCAATGACTGCTTCGAAGTATCGGGTCCCCAAATCAGATGAATATCCTGGATGGTCTGGCTTACACACTCCACATCTTCAACCGAGGCGTTGCTAGGGATATTGTAAAGACCATGGGTGAAGTTCCCATCTAAGCGAGACAAAAATGAAATTAATGTTAAAACCTTAAAAAAAAAGGTACTAAATTACTAAATCACTAAATTTACTATTTTACCAGAATTCTTGTAATTTCAATAACCGCAGCATTTTGGTAAAACATCTCCAAGATCTAATAATGCCCTTAAAAACAAATCTAGTAGTGGACTGATACGTTTTCTATTGCACTAATTAAGATTGAATTTTTTTTGAAGTCAATTAATTATTTGTATTACTTTGGGCGTAGATTTCATCAAATTTTGTTCTTGTTTATACAATAACAAGAAGATTGGAATTTTTTTAATTTAAAGTGAAATGTTCGGGTCTTAAAGATTATTAGTAGATCTATAGGCAATTACAAAAAATATTATATAAGGTCAAACCAAAGCATATATAATCTTATTATGGACGCCACAGTTTTTCTTGGTTTGTGGGCGTTAGGGTGGGAGTGTCTGTTGGCCAGTTGGAACTAGGCATGCTTATTGTATAGATGGTAACGCAGCTCAAGGTTTATTCATAATTGTCTCACGAAACGCGAAAAATAAGAGTCATATTTATATAATCTTTTTTGTCAAGTTTAATAAATATACCAAAAAATGATAAAATCTGAATTTTTAGTAATTTATTAAACTATATAGACTATAGCGTTTTTCGTTTCTTACCTTTAGTCTCATAGGTGAAGTTTAGTTGTGCTGCCATTTGAAGCATAATACAAGAGGCATTCCAAGTTCCGACGGAAGGCTGCGGATATGGCTGTGGAGCAGGGGTTGTGGTTGACACTGGTGCTGGTGTAGTAGTTGTCTTTGGTGGCTCCGTGGAAGTTGTGGTTGATGTCGTCGAAGTAGAGCTGGATGTGATTGGTTTCCTTGTAGTTGTTGTAGTTGATGTAGTTGATGTAGATGTGCTGCTAGTTATAGGGTTTGGTTGGTCCGAAGTCACATCAAGATTCTTGAAATTGTCACCCGGCAAACTAATGAATTTTTGAGAGAGCACTGAAAGAAGAAAAGTTTTACGAGTTTCAGAATTTGCCTTAAACTGTTTTTCCTTGCAGCAAAATTGTATATATTGACCAGATTTTTTTCAAGAGATCAATTCGAAATACAGAAGATCATCAACCGAATTATAAATTCAATATATTTGTAATATGTAAAGCGATTTGGTATGATTTCATTGGTCTTTGTTTCCCTTTTCATTAAGCTCTAATAGCTGTCGTACATGTGACTCATGTTGCACTCGATGAATAACTTATTGGTGTTTACCAACCAAAAAGGGAGATATCAAGTAAACTACTCAGTTTCAGATATCTAAACAAATAAATGAGGACAGAGTTAAAAAGATTATAGGAGTTTAGATGAGAATTTAATATTATATTTTTTATCAAGCTTTTCTGCTTTATTTTTTTGCTATCATATCGCTTACATATGTAATGATTCACTCACCATTCAATCTAGTTTTTTTACATTGTTTATATATTTTACCAGTTACCCGCAGGGTACCGTATTGGTTGAAAACTATGTAATAGGCAGAAGGAAACGTTTCCGACCCTATAAAGTATATATATGTACATATATTCTTGATCAGGATAAAATGACCTGTCCGTCTCATTGTCTGTCCATATGAGCTGAGATCTCATGATCTATAAGAGGTACAAAGTTGGGATTGAACTTGCACTCTAACGCCCACAAATCACGAAAAACTAACATCGCTGAGACCTCAGGAACTACAAGAACTAGAGAATTGAGGCAAAGTTTGTTTAATTTTTAAAGCAAAGCATCTTAAAGTGGTACCATTATCCGACCACGACCACTATTTCTCTAGCCAAACTCGAAAAGAGGTATCCGCTTTTTGTAAAGCTGAAAGTTTGGATTAGCATGTAGTGGCCACGCTTACTCTAACGCCCATACAGCTCGAAAAACTGTGCCGTCCATCTATATAAATATATATCTTTATATATCTTTTATACATATCTTTTTTTCAATATATATCGATATACCAAAGATTTTTCAAATCGGCACATTTCTTTGTGAATTATAAAGAAATGTAGGTTATAAGGCCTCACATGGGTAGTGATATCACAATTAGTTAGTAGGCTTTCTTTTTCTGAAAAAAAAGGTGGCACTGCAGCAATTTTGGCTGGCAAAATGATTATTTTTAAATTTGATAGGGCATTAAGAGGACTCTAATAGATTTCTTTCTTTTACATTCTATGTACGGTTACGGATACAATAACTGCCCTACGTTCTAGTTCAATGCCGTTGGTAATGCAGAGAGATGACCTTTAAATGCAAGTTAAGTAAGCACACAGACTTTGGAAAAGCAGACAGCCGACAAGGGCGTGTCGCGCCTAGAAATGTAATACAGTTCTCTGGTTTAAAAGGAAATTGCTTCCTCTAACAAGATTAATTTCCCTCAACCACGCATGAAAAAGGTAAGAAATGGCAACGAGGTAGAGGTTATGATGATTACAAAAAATGTAAAAATGGATGAAACATAAAATTATCGTGGTATTCTTTAAATTTTCATTTTAATTTGCTTGAATAGTTGGATATATAAGTTTAAAAGATTTAGGCTTAGGTAGTTTTGCAGTTGCAACCGAACATCTGTGTATCTGTACAATCTCAGATGAATTGAATAATTAATTGCCTATAATCAGTGTCAATAATGAAGGGTATAGATTTAAAACCGATTTTTTGACAGTAAATTAAAATATTTGTCAAAATAGTACATATAAGGGTTTGCAGCTGATAACCTTTTTTTGTCTTAAAGACCTCAGAAAATTCAGTTTTGCTTAATTCGCTTTTTCATTTATTTATTTAACAAAGAATGTTAGATTTTTGATGGCTCTTATTCCATCGGATGGACTATCACTGAAAACTAATGCACCTCATGTGGGTTGCTAAAAGTTGTGTAATCAAATGCGAATTCCACGGCTTTTGAATATTAGAAGTGGAATTATAGAATAGAAGCCCTAACCACAAAAAATCGGAAACTTCATGATTGCCACTAACAGCGGAAAAGTGCAAGTTTCAGAGGGCATTTACCGTTATCTAAAGACGCCCCCATGGGATAGGGGATGGAGCTTCAGGGTGATAAGCTGTGAACAATAGGCATTCGAGATGAGAAAATAAATACCAATTAAGAAAATCAGTGTAATGCTTTGTAATGCTCAGTGTGGCTTTGCCTAGCTGCGTTTTTCGGGAAGGAAGTAGTCTAGGCAACATGATGGACGAAGGAGGGTGAGGGTCAATGTGGATGCAGCAGTAATGGCAACCATTATGCTAAAGTCAAGGGTTTTCAACGGCCAAGACTTACGATTAAACTAAAGAACTCTGCAATTCTGATGCATCGTTGTGACACTTTGTTCGCAATGTTAGAGCCCCAGAGCAAAATGTCTTCCTCGGCCGTTTTTCGTGCCTTTTAAAAATTTTCCACCAGATAAAACACTACAATCGGACTAACCCTGTGGTTACGTGAGAGCGAGAGAGATGGTGAATGACGGGAGGCGAATAAGCGACAAATAATTGGCGATGAATAAGCACATTGAACAAAGGCTTCCAGCGCGACGCAGTTTTTTTTTTCGTTGCTAAAAAAGGGTTGGCGTAGTTCGTTATTATCTCACTTACCTGCACCACTTAACATTAGCAATGTCCAGTATGTCAACATTTTGCGGGCAAACATATTGAATGCAATCGAACGTAAGGCCGTGCTGCTATTTTCCGATCTGCCGAGTCCACTTCAATGGCAAATTGTTGCTGCTTTGTTCGAGTTAGTTTTTATTTTTCCCTTTATTCCCAGCTCCGGCCAATAGTGTGACCAAACTGCTCAAAGATAATAATAGTTTCCTATCGATAACGATAGGATCGCTATGGGAATGATATAGTGTATAAAAAATGTATTTAGATGGTCGAAAGAATCGTTTCCGTTCTTAAAGTTTATATATATTATTGATCAAGATATTCAACTGACGATCTGAAAAGGTATAAGAAGTCGGCTGCAGTGAATGCTCACTATCCTGGACATCAATCGGGTGGAAAACTTTGAAATAAAATTCCAGACACAAACCTAAGACATCTACCTTTTTGAATTGGATTTGAGCAAATTATTGCGGAATTCCATGTTGCCGCTTTATTATGTTCTTTCCGTTCTTGTTTCTTAATACCTTTCGAACGCAATTTGAGGCGATATTATTGGAGACAAAAAATTAGTGCGCAAAAAGGTATACATATATTTAGACAAATTAAGTTAGGACAATGAAGTTAACATTTTAAAATGAAATTTCAACAATTTTGGAACTCCAATTATAATACACGAGTTTGATGGTATTTAAATAAAATAACCGCTCAAACTTACATTTAGATCCTAATGATAACCGTTAAAATCCTAGTCTTGGCTAAGTGACATTCCAACGCTTATCGCAAATATTAATAATTATTATTTGCGCAAATTAAATAATAATGTAGTGCTTTTGGGTCGTTGAAAAAGGAAAATCATTTCAACTAATCAATCTAGAGCCGAAAACAAGCAGCACAAACATAAGTTAATAACAAGGGTTATCTATTGTTTTTTTTTACACTTACAACACTACAACGTTTTTCGTAGTATTAAGACCATTTACGAAAATGTAGTTTTATTTCGCACGGTTTTAAAGAAATTTTTATAAATTAAAGATAAACTCAAAGTGTTTTGGAGGAGCAGCAGACGCCGATAGCAGAGACGGCCCAGGGGAACTGGTTCCGGGGTAGCGCTGTTTCATAGCGAAAATAATAGTGTAGAGGGCCCAAGATATTTAAAATTCGGAAATCTTTCTCTCGAGAAGCTAATTGAGTTCACTACAAGAAGGGCAATTAAAGAGCAAGTCAAAGCCATCTAATAGCTGAGAGGAGGTAGACGTGATCCAGCCAACAATTTTCCACAGTATGAGTGGTGATTAAAATAAAGAAGAAACATAGAAGTTAATGTGGTTTTATGCTCAGACGCCAAGTGCCAAAGGTAAATTGTGAAAGTCTGCGAGGAAAAGGAAAATAAACAGGAAGTCCGCAGTATCGCCGCCGACATCTGGGTGCGCCAGGTTTTTTTTATTTTTAAATTTAATTTTCAAAGTTATGAAGACCCCTATTGCTTACTCTGCACAATATATACGCCCATATAAAATAATCTACCCTTCCTAGAATTATATATTTCAGAGATAAGATTGATTTAATTTGAAACACTGTGTTAAATTATTAATTATAAGTCTCTCAGTGTATAGTTTAATAAGCAATAAATTAGCTTGCTAAATGAGAGAGAGAGAAGCTTTTGGAATGAGAGTGTCGTGGGGAAGGAGAGCAAAAGCCCTGCTGAGTGTGGCGCAATGATGGGAAAAAGAGGAAGAGCAAGAGAAGGAGGAAAGCACTCAGGAGTGAACAGACGTAAAAAACATCATTGCGACTCGCTGCGCGTTGTAAAATACAAAATGGCAGACGAAATCCAGGCGCATGCTATTTGAATTGCAAAATAGAGTGCTAACTGACCTACTCAAAGCCACGCCGCAGCCTTACACACCCGCTGTTCTCGCGATGTTACCGACATTCGACCCCGAAGCTGCAGAAGTGCGAGTAGATTAATTACATCATTATTGATCAAGTGGAAATCAATGACCCATGACTGCAGCGCGTAGCGTTCACTACAAACATAAAAGAGCGGGCTGAGCTGCAGAATACTTTCTGAAATAGAGGGCCCGGAAAAAAAGAGGTTCAAAATGCAGACGCCGATTAGATGCCATAATTGCGAGAAACTTGGACATTAGACAATGGAGTGTCGCAAGAGGAGAACAGAATCGCGAAACGAGACTAGACCGGGCCATAGTAACAACAGATCGACGATGGTTCGAGAGAGATCAACCGTGACTTGTTTAAAGTATGGCGTCAGTGTCTACGAGGTGACCAGCAACGAAAGAGGGGTGGACTTGTGTGCATTACATCAGCCTAACGGGATGCAATTCAACTTGGTCAGAAATTTCCATTTTTCTTCGATATGGGATTGGAGTGCTCTCTGATATAAGAGACAATCGGCGTGACGACATTGTCAAAAGCAACATGCAAATTCTGTCCACCATACAAATCTCTGAATTTAAGTAGATTAGTAGATGGAAATAAAACTGATCAGAGACGACAATAAAGTCTTAGCGGGAGTGAAAAAGAACTAGTCACAGAAAAGATTCAGCGAATGCTGGAATCCAACGTAATTCTAGTCCAATGTTACTAGTAAAAAAACAAGAGGAAATGCTATAGTCGAGTGCCGCTACTATAAGATACCCGATACTGTTTTACACAATTTTAAAATATTCATTTTGCTAGTGGAAATTACCCAAGCGCCACCTATTGTCGGAGAAAGCATGTCGAGTAACTGATAGTGATGTCACTGCCCATGTGAGGCCTTATAACCTAAATTTCTTCATAAGTAGCGAAATAATGTTCCGATTTGAAAACTCTTTGGTAAATCGATAGATATAAACAGAAATAAGTTATACAACGTCAAACGAAGGCATTCATAATAATATTATAGACGCCACAGTGTTCCGCGGTTTTTAGGCGTTAGAGTGGGCGTGGCCGGAAAAAAACTCGTGGAAAGTTGCAGTGGCATCCCTAAAATACGTCTTCTTAAGCGATTTTAGTTTTTTGCGATTCGTGGGCTTTAGAATGGGCATGGCAGGATGCTGAAATAAACTTGCGCTGTCCCGGGACCCCAAGAATCTTCATGCCTAATCTCAACTTTGTATCTGCTATAGTTCCTGAGATCTCAGCGTTCATGCGGACATGGCTCAATCGACTTCGCTATTAATCCTGATCAAGAATATATATACTTTATAGGGTCGGAAACGCTTCCTTCTATCTGTTACATACTTTTCAACGAATCTACGAGTAACGGGTATAAAAAAGGACGGAAGTGATAGACTATGCATAGATTAACGAGCAATAAGGAAAGAGAAACATAACACCTTTTAACGGGGAAAAATATTCGATTTGGAAATTTAGAGTCAGGGCTTTGTTAGAGGAAAATGAGTTGATAAAAGTAAATGATGAAGAACCAAGTGATCAAGAAAGTGAGGAAGTAAAGCGAGCAGAAAGAAGTGCAGAGTCTTGTAATCGAATATTTGAGTGACTAGTTTTTAGTGTTTGCCAACAATGTGAGCTCGGCTAAGGAGATTTTTAACAATTTGGATACTATTTACGAGCGTAAAAGCCTGGCATCTCAACTTTCATTACGTAAACAATTATTGTCTCTAAAATTGAAGGGTGATACACTAGTGAACCACTTTCGTTTGTTTGATGATTTGGTTTCTGAGTTAGTTGGTGCAGGTGCCAAGATAGATGAAATGGACCAAGTGTCTCATTTGCTTCTAAAACTTCCAACTAGCTATGATAACAGCGATAGAAACTCTCTATAAGAGCAATTTAACATTAGCCTTTGTAAAGACACGGCTTCTCGATCATGAAATAAAACTAAAAGGAGTTGGCAAGGACACAAGTGCTAAAGTGTTGCGGGCTATAGGTAATCGAGAGTCAAAATAACAAAATTTGTGAAGAAACAATTTCAGAGTAATTCAAAGCCTAAGTTAAAGTGTTTTCATTGCGGCAAATTAGGCCATATGAAGAAAGACAGTTTCTTCTTAAAAATACAGGCAGGAGGCAACCAAAATGTTCATGTCCAGAGTAATGTTAGAGAGAGACAGGCTCAGATGGTAACAGCAACGAAACCAGAACGCTCATTTGCTTTTATGATGAACGTAGCAGTTAGAGAGAGACAGACTCAGATGGCAGCGACGCAGCCGGACTGTGCTTTTGCATTTATGATGAAATTAGCTAATTCCGGGGAAAAGACAGATGGCGTAGATATTATATTAGATTCAGGGGCGTCAGATCACATAGTAAACGACATAAATTTATTTTCCGAGTATGAGAATATAAATCCAAGTGTGGCGATTGAGATTGCAAAGCGTGGAGAATTCGTGTATGCTACTGCGAAAGGACTAGTAAGTCCTAACAGTTCTGGGAAAAACATTACATTACAAAACGTGCTGTATTGCAAGGAAATACCGCACAATTTACTATCCGTGAAGAAGATGCTAGATGCTGGAATGTGCGTCGAATTTAATCCGGATGGCATAAAAATAATCAAAGATGGTAACTTGGCATTTGAAAGGATAAGTAAGTATAATGTACCGATTGTTAAATTTTATTTAAACAGTGAAGTATATATGTACATCGAAAAGTTTAAATGATGCAGAATATCGCTTGTGGCATGAAAGGTTAGGCCATATTAGTGTAGAAAAATTCTTAGAAAATTAACGAAACAGCTTGTTTGAAGATGTTGAACTTATCAAAAACGTACAGCTAAATTGAAATGAATTTTGTGAGGCATGTATTAACGGAAAACAATCTAGGCTAAAATTTGAAAAATCCAGAAACAAAGAAAATATTGACCGCCAATTGTTCGTAGTTCACTCTGATGTATGTGGTCCGATTACGCTCTCAACTATTGATAATAAAAACTACTATGTAGTATTTATTGATCAGTTTACACATTACTGTGTGACATATTTAATAACTTATAAATCAGACGTGTTTTTTGTATTCAAAGACTTCGTGGCGAAAAGTGACTTAACTTTTTAACTTAACTTAAGTTTTAACTTAAAAATGGTAAATCTATATATTGATAATGGCAGGGAATGCCTCTCAAATGAAATGCGTGAATTTTGTGTCGCACAAGGTATCAGCTTTCATTTAACGGTTCCTCATACCCCACAATTGAATGGTGTTGAGAGCGGATGATAAGGACAA